GAGATGTTATTGTTTTGTTTAGGAGAGGATTTTATTGAAGGTGATTTCTAGGTAGTAAAGTGGCATTCCAATTCGTTTATTCAAGGTACGTACGAGTTACGAAACCTTGCTTTTAAGTGCACGTTTAAGGACGGATCGAGAACTTAGTATCATGTATAGGGATGACTGGGTTAAATTGTTTGGTTATACATTGTAAAATTTGTATGACGTGCACTATTTAATAGTGCAAGTATTATTTGTGCTCTAATTATGCAAGGTGTGCTTAGAGGCAAAGGTATGTGATTGGTGTAATGATTAATTTATTACTCATTCATGATTATTGAAATAGGATGAGTAAAGGAAGGATTCAAGTCTTATAAGACGAGGTTAAGGTTTTAGGGTGCCTTATGCACTCAAGGTGTTTATACACAGAGGTAGTTAAAGGAATAAATAATAAATGTTGCTTGTCACTAATAAATCAAGAAATGAAATTGGAAAGTTTTTTTACTTGATTGGATTGATTGTATTATTTGCATATGAGTCATCACCAAGTCTTAACCTATAAATCACGTAAAGTGCAAGATGGATGAGCAATAAAACTCTGGATTGGTGCACTTCTAGAGTAATGACAATCAGGGGTTGGGGTACACGGGGTATTAGCCGTATACTTTTCTCGAGGCCGTCTGATATACGAGTCTCTTATTTTAATTTTTTTCAAAACTAGGAGTTAGGTGAGATCTCATACTAACTACGGTCACAAAGTCGCGCGCGTGGTCATTGGATGTTTATTGATGTTTCCGAAAGGAGGCATGGGGTTTTCTTTTTTGATGTTCCAAATGGAGCATGGGTTGGACAACCTTGTCTATTGCTTAATCCAATGAATAAAAATAATGATTTACCTATTAATTAATGGAGTCTTAGTAATATAAATAGTTGAGTCATGTGTCGAGTCTATAAACTAATGATGTGTGATGATTGATTATTAGTAGAATGTTAGGGATTTCTTTTATGTTTTGCAGCTTGTATGTACTCAGCCTTACTAATTGCATGCTTTGTGTTTCTTTCTTTGGTCATGGCCTTCGCCTTTCAATGATCTTGTGACAATCTAATTTTTACACTTGTAATATTGGGGAGCAGATTAACCACATGTTCCTACACATGAAACATTTGTTTCTAGATGGTGGGATCTTGAGTGGAGTGTTGGTTGCTTTTCTTATTTTTATTGTTATTTTCTTTGGAAGTTATTTAAACTCAATTTTACATTCATACTACTTCTATTGGTTTGAGTTTTGAATAAGGGCCTTAATGGTTCCAAGTTGTAAGATTTAGTTTGGTTTGTGGTTATTGGTTTTGAAACTTATTTATATAACTGATTTAAATTTTCCACTCCTAATTTGTGATATAGCCTTAACGTTTGAACACGTGGCGGTAGCACGCCAGTAATTCTCTTGGATTTTGTTCAGGGTACTCACAGGTTTAAAGAGAGAATTATTAGGGTGTTACATTATCTTCTTTATTATTTTCTTACTTTTATTTTTTTATTGACTATTGTTCCAGACAAATCAAATACAACACCTATTTCTCAACAATATATATGCCATGCAATAGGGTTGTATTGTTCACATTAGGTACCGTACCTGTAGACACCCATTTGTGTCTCCCCAAAACCAAACCCAGTGATGAGTACCTTTCATGTCGAATCATATTCGAATGAAGTGAAAGTGTGGAAAGTCTAGTGTTGCAATTAGTTTTTTATTTCTTTTCTTTCTCTCTATTTTTGAAAACCTATTTTAAGAAAACAGCCAATCCAATTTGATTTGGTCCATGGCAATAGTCCAATAATGGTGTAGGTGGGTCGGGTTCGAAAATAGCTTTCCAACGATATATTATAAGCCTAATTCTGTTGAATAATGAGGAAGTTATGGCCAAAATACTAAACTGGGCCCGGTTTGATTTTTATATGCGGCCTAATGATCTAGAGGAGGGTCTATCATGATTTATCATTCCTAATACGATTAGGATTGACAATAGTCTTCTAGAATTTTATAGAAGGTTCTTTTGAATCCTAGTTTAATTAGCATTGGTAAATCGACTTTTAGGAGTTTTAATTACAATAAAAGAAGTGTTTTAAGGAAATTACAGTTTTACCCTCTCGTACGCTTAAATTTTATCAAAATAAGAAAACGCGTGGAAAATAGATTGCAGGACCTGATGAGTGTCATTTATGGCACTCATTTGGCCTCTTTTAGGATGATTTCACGCTATTTTATAGCCCTTCTCCTTAGTTTTTCCTTAATTTTGTTCTTTATTTCGTTAGTTTGTGCTTTCCATAGTTAGTGTCCTTGTTTTGTGCATTTCTTTGTTTATTTGTTCTTTTTCCCTTTTATTTTTTTGTGTTCGTTTGTTTTTAGGTTATGATCGTGTTTCCAAGGATTCCCGAGCCTTCCTCTCATATTTCTCATCAATTTGGATGCCTCATGTTCGCCTTTCGGAGCTTCAAGTTTGTAGGAACGCAAAGAGCAAATCAAGAGATCGGTGCACGTATGCGGTGGGGGCGTCATCTTTGCCATGAACCCACCAAAATGGCCCTTTCAAGACTGCCTTCCTTGGTGTTCATCATCATCATAAAAACGAGCCCACGAGGATGAGCTTGGACGAAGAAGAGGGGGGATCCCCTGCTGCCAGGTGCGGGCGCGCAAGAGGGTGGTGCGGCCGCGCACCTGGGTGGCGCAGGCGCGCCTACCAGGGCCCCTGTTCCGCACCCTTTTTTCCGCGACCGCGCCTCTCCTCTAATGCGACCGCGCCTTCTGGGGTTTCTTTTGGGACAATCTAACTAAATCTTCTTTTGCATCTTTCCTATATATAGTTTTTCCTTCTATTTTTTTAGAGGAGAGGAGAATTAGAATAGAATTAGAATCAGTTTTAGATAAAAAAAAAATTAGAGAGCGAAACTCTAGATTTTTAGAGAGAGAATTTCATGGTGGATTGTTGATGATTGAAGATTTCTCCATTTCCTTTGATTTTTGATCAAGTTTTTAAGGATTTCCTTTCTTTAATGCAATCTTTAGTTTGATTTTTAGTTTGATTTCAATTTTTTTGTTGAATGTTCAAGTTTGATTGAAGTTTGATTGATTTGTGTTTGATTTTAGCTTGTTTGATTTGATCATGACGAATTTGTTGATTAGCCTTGTTTTGATCTTGATTTCAATGGCTAGTGAGTAGATAGCTTGCTAGGGTAATGGTGAAGCATGTATGAGTAATGGATTAAATCTAATTGGGGAAAATTGATGGAGTTGACTATGTGATTAAATTGGTTGATGATCATGTGCATGTCTGTGATTAATTAAAGAGTAGCTAACTTTTGATTGTTGCACTAGATTGCATTGTAAGTTTGCATTGATACGGACCATAGATTTGTGGCTTGCATTTAATGATTGAGGTGTCTTGTGATGTTTCCTAGCTAGAGTTTATCGTAGTTGACGCTAGTTAGACCTCTAGGAGAATAGCTTGATATGCTCTTTTGGTTGCATGATTGGTCTTCCCTCACATTGCTTGACTTAGTCACTTTGACCTCCCAATTAGTTAAATCTGTTACGATTGCATGTGGATCCTAGCCCTAGTGGTTCTTACATTTGATTTCTTCTCGTTTATTAGTTGTCTTTGTCCTAGCATAACATTCACACCCAATCATTACATTTCGGAATAGCTTGACCATAGACAATAGATAATCGCCCACCATTCCTTTGGGTTCGACCCTCAACTTACCATTATACTTGTGTTGGGGTGTGTTGAGTGTTTACAAATTTTGTTTGGCCTCGGATAGGGGTTAGTTTCAACGACCTAGTCTCAATCCTCGCCAAAATGGCGCCGTTGCCAAGGAGTGGTGTTGCGATTGTGTATTTTTGTTGAGTCTATTCCATCTTATTCAAAAATACAAAAAGATTTTTCTTCTTTCTTTAAGGCTACACTTGTAGCCGTGTTACTAACAATTTCTTTTCAGCTTTTGCATGCATAGTAGAACTCGTGTTAGGACCTTAGTTCTTTTGGATCCGGAAATTGAAAGAACTCTTTCACGAAGAAGGGTAGCCAACCGGTCTTTGAGCCTAAGTTCCTCAAGTGAAGAAGAGTTTGAGGAAGAAGAAGAGCAAGCCATGGGAGAGAATCCAAGAGTAGCTTTGAAGGAGTTGGGAATTCCCGGTGCTTATAGGTTTGAGAGTTGCATTGCTCTACCTACAACACCGGCGAATGATTTTGAAATTAGACCGGCCATGATTACTTTGATAGAAAGGAGGCAATTTAGTGGAGCCAAGAGTGAGAGCCCGTTGAATCACCTTAAGGAATTTGAGAAGTATTGTAATACTATCAAGGTGAACGGCATTTCTCAAGAGTTCATTTGGCTAAAGTTGTTTCTCTTTTCTCTTATTGGTCGTGCCTTAGAGTAGTTGAATAAAGAGGTTAAGCCAAATTCCCTTAGGATGTGGGATGAATTCACCAAAGCTTTCTTGTCTTGCTTTTATCAATAAAAGAAGACGGCGGAGGGTAGAGCCTTGATCCAAGGATTTAAACAAAGGCCTAATGAGAATCTCTATGAAGCATGGGAGAGGTACAAGGACTACGAAAGAGAGTGTCCACATCATGGAATTCTTACCTATCAAGTGATACAAATTTTCTATGGAGGCTTGAGTGCTCAAGGCAAGTCATGCCTAGATGGAGGAGCCGGAGGTCCTATAATGAATAGGACGGAAGAAGAGGTAGTTGACATAATTGAGGATGTGGTGAGATACTATAGAGATTGGCAAGAAGGAGAGAGGGAGTCCACGAGTAAGAGTGGCTCAACGGTTTATTCGGTGGATCATCTCAACGCAATTAACAACTTGTCCTCCCAAATTTCAAATCTAGGGAAGGAAGTGACGTCGCTCAAAGCAAATCTTGAGAGTGTTTCTACGAATTCATTGAGTCTTCCCTCCCAATCTAAATGGAGAGGTACATTTTCTAACTCTTCTCCTTCTACTTCCAATAACATGCCAAGTGGTTGTCTATTTTGTGATTCTTGTGGATCTTATGATCATGATTCTTCCATGTGTTCTCAAACTTTTGTTGATGGATGTGATGATGTTGAAATTAATGAATGTGAACATGTGAACTTTGTGTCTAGTGCCAATGGTGGTCAAAGGTTTGATGGACCTAAGAATTTTAGTAATAAGAATTCTCACCCCCAAGGTGGTTTCGATAACTACAACAATGGAGGCTATAGGAACCAAGGAAACCAAGGTTTTCGAGGTAACTATAACAACCAAGGCTATAGTAATCAAAACCCGAGCCATGGGTATGGTAACCAAAGTCAATCTCAAGGCTTTGGTAATCATTACCATAATGGTGGCAATAGTCAAGGTCGTGGCAATTGGAGCAACAACCAAAATCGAGGAAGTTTTTAAAATAACAACCAAAGGGGACCCCCACCCGATTTTGCTCCAAAGCCTCAAGGCAATGGTGAAAATTCTAATTCCCAACCATCATCATTTAAGACAAATTTGGAAGAAATGATTGATAACCAAACCAAGATCATCAACACATATATGGCGGTGAGTGACAAAAAATTTAATGAGATGATGACTCATAACAAAATGCTTGAGACACAAATAACCCAATTAGCCAACACTCTAAAGGATTGTGATAGTCCATCCTTTTTGCCTTCTCAAGGAGTGGAACCTAAGAAACCTGTTTATTCTATCACCACTAGGAGTGGGAGAGTTCTTAATGAGGGAGATTCTAGGTCCATTGAGGAGGATGAGGAGAGGAGTGACCCAAGAGTGGAATTTGAGAAGGTTGAGTCTAAGAGTGTGAGTTATGAGGATGTGCAAGAGGAAAAAAGGAGTAATGAGAAAGAGCGTGAGGAAGTGCGGAGACCCGACCTCCCATACCCACAAAAATTCTTGAGGCACAAAATTGATGAGCAATTTGGAAAATTTATTGCTATGTTCAAAGAAGTTCACCTTTCTATCCCCTTCACCGATGCAATTACCCAAATGCCTAGGTACTCTAAGTTCCTTAAGGAGATTTTGAGTGGGAAGAGAATGTGCAATGAAGTTGATTCGGTTGAAGTTGGGAGTTGTTGTAGTGCTTTGATTCATAATGAGTTTCCCAAGAAGATGGAGGATCCGGGAAACTTCTCTATTCCATGTGATATCAAAAGGAAAATGTTTAATAATGCTTTTTTGTGATCTTGGAGCTAGTGTGAGCGTCATGCCTTATTCCATTTTCAAGAAACTCGAGCTAGGTGAGCTACTCCCATCTAACATAACCCTTCAATTGGCCGATCGTACTATTATGATTCCAAAGGGGAGATTTGAGGATGTTCCTCTTAAGATAGGAGGGTTCATTATTCCCGTTGATTTCATTGTGCTTGAGATTGCGGAAGATGACCATATCCCTATCATTTTAGGAAGACCTTTCTTAGCCACTTCGGGAGCCTTAATAGATGTGAAAGGAGGCCGTATTACCTTGACAATTGGTAAGAAAGAGGAAAGCTTTGAGTTGAAACCAATGCATGAGTCTTTGTCTCTTGTGCAAGGAATTATGTGTGCTAATTCCCCTCGCTCTATTGATAATGTGTGCATGATTAATTCTTCAACTAACGATGTTCTTGAGAATTGTGATGATGTTCTATCAAGTTTTGATGGCAAGAAGGTTAGTGAAGAGAAAATGATGATTCCAAAGCTTACGGACGAGGAGGAAGTTGAAATCCCTCATTGGTTTGAGCTCTATCCTCAAGATGGAAGGGATGTTCCCATGAGTATAGATGGTGAGGAACCATCTACAATAAGCAACAAGCCAAAGAAAAAAGCTCGTGATTCTTAGAAGAAGAGAGGGAGAAAAAAGTTACGAAAAGAAAAATTTGCAATTGAAAAGTCTTTGAAAGAAGTTTCATCAAGCAACAACAAGAGGTTGCTAGAAGTTAAAAAAGAATTTGCTATTTCCGCTACCTTGAAGAAGGTGGTGTTCTTTGACCCTCCATGACTTGGAGGAAGGGTCGAGCTTAGGACCATAAGCAAGCGCTTCCCGGGAGGCAACCCAGAGATTTCTAACTTTTCTTTTTGATTTTTGAATTTCTCTTATTTTTCCTTCTTTTATTTTCTTTTCTTTCACTTTTCTACTTGATTGGATTTGTAGGTTGCATTTTTAGGATTGGATTTCATTAAGTAAGCATGAAGAATGAGAAGGTGTTTTGCGGTTTTTGATGTGACTATACTCGATTTTATCGAAATTTGAGGTAAAAGGTTAGAATATTAGTGAGGTAAGTTAGGGATTTTGTGCTTTAAAGTTGAAGGAAGTTTGCACTTGGTGGGTTGTTATGGTGGGTTCATGAAATTCTAGTTTTAAACTCACTAAAACGGGATTTTGCTACTGCCTATGTTGGTGTTTATCATCATCATTATTCATGTACCCACCAATGAACGCACCAAGAACTTAAAAAAAAATAATAAGAGAGAGCTAGGCTGGGCTCAGGTGCGGGCGCACACGCGCTTGGTGCGGCCGCGCACCTGGCTGGTGCGGGCGCGCATCAACCCGAGCCTCTCCTTTATTTTCCTTCTGTAGGCGTCGTTTGAAGTGCGCCTACGTTAAAAGCATGTGGTAAATATGCTTGGCACTCATAGGAAGTAGGAATTGACATAATACGATTAGGGACAAGGAAAGTAGGGAGCCGCCAACAAGTTTTTAAGGAACTTGTAAACCGTTCACGGATCATAAAAGGCAACCACGAATAAGGGACAACGAAGACAACAATGATTGACCCGTGAAGGTTACACCCCATTCATAATCCATGAGATTACTAACTCCATATGGTTCGGAACCACGAAAGGAGGATCGGGGATGATAGTACGAAGTGAGTCATGGAGTCACATTCGCCCGTATTGGCCTCTACTCGATTCTTATAGTGAAAAGTGACTCCTGCGATCTCAAAGGCATACAAACAAAGATTCAATTTTCTCCAAACTATTATTAAGCTAAATTGGTTGAATATTAATGCACACATAATTCTAAAATATTGGTGATCACTTCAATTAATAATAAGATTAAAAGGGATCCTAAACCGGTTGTCCAAATTATCTTATTAGGCGTGATTTTCAATTACATACTCCCTTTAAACATGCAATGGTGATCATAAAAATTATAGAACAACATTAATATTAAAACCAATTTAATCACAATTCCAACAATATAAAATCGTTAGAAAAATAATAAAAACGAAAGGAGCATGATCCTTACTTTGATTCTATTTGTTTGCAACTACAAAATAATAAACGAGTTAGTAGCTTCAAGGAAATAAATAAACAATAATTAAATTAAATTAAATAAAATAAAGTTGATTTTGGGGCCAAACCCTCAAACAGTTCTACCTTTCACGTCTTGGCTTAAGGACAGAACCTCGAGTAAAATATGGACTCCTTTGAGTGCTTGAAGAAGGAATTTTGAAGTGAAAAGGGTAGGCTAGTGTTTAGCCTAAAGCATAGAAGAAAGAAAATAAAATCAGAGAATTACTCGGTGCCCCGTTCATTAGAAATGAGGGGGTATTTATAGGGAAAATGTGTTGAGGGAGCACACGGAACCCTAAAATGATAAAAACCCTAAAAAAGTATCCCGTGACACGGTCAATCTGTACCGTGACATGGGAAGCTCCACCGTCAGACGGTACACTTTCCCGTGACACGGTACATTTTTGGTGTGACGTGGGAAATTTTCAGAAAACGGGATAAAAAACGCGTTAAGGGTTTACGCGGAAAAGACACGAAATGTCCCGTGTCACGGCAGACCTCCCGTGTCACGGGAAATCCCACCGTTAGACGGGAAGGATTCCCGTGACACGGTAGGTACCTGTCGTGGCGCGGGAAATTCCAGCCTGTTTTTCCGTCTAAATACATTTTTAACCCTAATTTCCTTCGGCATTTTAAGTGCCGATTGATAATTTCGGGCCTTTTCTGACTTTTTATTATTCGGGCTAAAATAAGAAAATAATTAAATTAAAATAAATAAAGGGTTTGGGCCAAAAATAAATAATAAAAAGGCTTGGGCTAGAAATTAATTAATAAGTTTGGGCTGAAATTAAAACTATGCTTTTACCAAACATCAAGACTAATCCATGGACTGTTCAAAAATATGAATTTAATAAAATACGATTTTTTAAGCACTCTCGGGATTAAATACTAAACCCGACCAATAGTGGCGGTGAAAGGTTGTTCATCATCGGATTTGGTTTTGGGGAGACATTTTTAGGTGTCTACACCTTCCTTCCTTTCTTCTTTCATTTCCCCTTATTTCTCCTTCATAGCTTCGACCCCCATCATCCTCAAACCCTCAAGACCACACCACTCACTTCAACAACTCATCAAAATTTCAACTCAAATCACTCAAATTTTCACTCTAAATTCACTAAAACCTTCTACTTTTCATCCAAATCATCAAATTCATACTACTTTCATCAAATTAAACCTCCAATCTCTCTTATCCATACTTGGGTATAATTTGGGGTTTTTCTATTTGGTGGAAATTGGTGGTTAAAAGTGGTTCAATCTTTCTTCATGTATGGTATAATCATCTTCTCTAGCTTTTAATTGCTCAATTATGTCATATATTTGCATGTTTTGATTTGTTCATGAGCATGAATAGTGGTAGTACCAACTTTTATGATTTTGATGATTGATATTGGTTTTTGGTTGATTATTTGAGTTGTTTGTTGTTTGATTTTACCTCACATTGTGTTGTTTGTTGATTTTGTTGGATTTGTGAGCAATTTTGTTGAGAATTTTGGAATTTGAATTTTGGTAGTGTGGGTAGTAAGGTGCTATTGTGGTATTGGTGGTTCTTCTTGTAATTGTTGATTGTGTGGGAAGAAATTGTTGGATGTTTGGTGTTGTTTGGTAATTTAGATTGGAATTGTGATTTGTGGATATTGAAGTTCTTGGTTGGTGATTTTGCGGATTGTTGCAGGAATTTTGTGATTGGTTTTGTGTGATCCTTGCACTAGAAATTCATCATGTCGAGAGTCCTCAAAAACCTTGTTAAGAAACGCAAAACAAACTCCTCCACTGGTGAACCTACCCCAAGCACATCCACCTCCCAAACACGCAAACTTACTCCACCACCCAAAAGAAAATTCCACGATAAAAAACACAAGAAACGGTACCATAATTTAAAAGAAAACCGCTTCTTTAAACCCAAAAGACACTACTTCCAATCCAACATGTCCGTATTGGGGATTGATGAGGATGTAAGGGAGTTGTTGATCAACCTACGAATGGGCACATTCATCTCCCGTAGCTACTGCACCTATGTTGAGCCCACTCTCGAATTCTTTGCTTCGGTTAAGATAGTTCCCGTAGAGGGTCAATATAGGGTTCAATTCCAAATTTTCAACAACTTCTTCGACCTCTCCTTA